AACGTGACCGCCATTATGCGTGAATGACACTCCCTGCATAGGTTAGCTTTACTTTCTACTTGGAAAATAAATTTTGCATAACATAGCAATTAAATGAAATTCATAGTATTTTGCCTTGTGGATGAAATCGAAGTAAAAAAAAAAATTTTCCGGTGAGCTTCAATTGAAAAAAATTGCAGAAAGGAAGTCTCAATAGATTCAGGCCTCAACTGGAATCAAGAGAAACAAGTTTCTTCCAAATATTAGGGCAGTACTACCAACTGAGCTACGAAGCCATACGTTGGCAGCGAAGCAAAATTTAACATGATAAATATTAAAAAAAAAAGAATAAAAATTCGCGTAACATAGTTGAAATCTTGCTTTGTTTTGACTCTCCAGCACCATCATATAGGGAAACAGAACCCCACTGCCATGAATTTCAACACTCGGAATATGTTCTGGAGATTATGTTTTGGATTCTTAGCAACTTTGTCATTACGGGAAATATTCTTATCATCTGGATTTTTCTTAACCTGAGACGCAGAAAGCGTTCCACATTTCTTCTGATCGGTTTGGGCGTGGCTGATTTACTGGTTGGAGGACTGGCCATTCCTCTTTTCATAGCGGCATTTGAATCAGCTTCATTAACAGCATGGCGTGTTTTCAACCTTGTTGACGTGTTTACAAGTACATCGTCCATTTATGCACTTGCTGTCATTTCCGTGGAGAGAATGTTCGCCATCGGTTGGCCTCTTCGTCATAGAACTGCAAACTTTCGTGTTTGTATGCCATTTCCATACCGTGGATCATAGCAGCAATATTCACTGTTTTCACTGATGCAAACTTCAACTTCATTACAAGTGACAGCGTAATCTACCTTCTAGTTTTGTTTCCTGCAACACCTCTATTAGTTATGTGTGTAGCGTATTATGTTATTTGGAGGAAACAAAAAAATCACCAATATGTAACCATAACAATATCATCACAGAGACCAAATTAGCAAACACATTATTTTTGATAACAGGAGCTTCCGTTTTCACCTGGCTTCCATTCCAGACTTTTAACATGTTGGTAAATTTGCATGTTTTTCCATCTTTTTCTTACCTGCAACTGACAGCATTCATGGTCAGGGTTTTACAATACACAGCAATTCGTTTGTGAATGTAATTATTTATCCACTGAGAATCTCAGAGTTTAAAAACTACCTGGTTCACTTACTTCGCTCGGCTGTGCGGTCCTCTTTCAGTTTTAAACTCTGGGGTATCTCCTTTATCTGGGTCTGGGTCTGGGTCTGGGTCAGTTGTGTCCTGAATAAGATTTACGAGTATGCAGTTTTTCTCACCGATCTATAAGCAAGAGACTGTAGTTTGATACATTTATTTAATAACTTTTAGTGATACAATTTTTGGGAAATCGTGCTTGTAATTCAAATCAGACTTGTGCTAAGCGACTGGACATATTAATACATTTTGGTTATTCTTTGAATTTTTCTTTATCATCTCTGATCTGTTTGAGTGTAAAAGTCAGATCCCTTGATAAATCTCAAACTAGTTCGATGCTAAGGTAAATAGAGGTGTGTACTCACCGAGAACGAACGCATATATCAGACACTCTCACATCAGCTGAGATAATAGCCTTGATAAGTATCCCTAAAGATGAAGTACGAGTGGCAATATCATCAGACAAAACTGAATATTCATAGGATTCTGACGTTATCAGACCGGGAAACACCGTACCGCCAAGCTCAAAAGGTCACTTGTAATGTCCAATGGTAAGTTAAGATAAAAAAAAAGATGAAAAAAAAAGTACAATAATTCATGCCTTCTTTGCTCAAAGCAACCTCCACAATTTGTTAAACCTGAGAATTTTTATGAATGTAGCGCAAAAAAAGATTTAGTTGTATTCTGAATTGTTTCCTTTGAAAATATTATCTTTTCGAAGAGATTATTTGAATAAATTTAAGATACCTTTTCACCAAGGTTCACTATTTAAGTATTATTAACACCTTCTTCTCGTTTATCAAATAGTTTCCTCATAGGTATCCAAAGATAAACTTAAAGCCAACATGTTCCCCTTCGACACCTTAAAGGCGGATAGTGCAAATCACTTTCGAGTTTGCCTATAAGAAGGTGTGAAACTGATACATAAGAAGTAATAAAGAATCACCACTTAATTAATTGATAACTTTATTAGATAAATCAATCACTCAATTTTGGCTCATTTGGTATAAATGTGCAATGTACTCCTCGATTTGGGTAATAAGAAATATGAGAGATAGAGGGAGGGAGAGATAAAGATTCATTACCATCACCGTTGCCCGTTTCATTCTTTACTTTTATATTATGTTAGTGCTTGATGTAAATTGTTAACGACTGTTGAAAATAGCCAAGTTGCCTCATATTGTACACAATTCTTTATAATAAATATTGCATCTAAACAATTTGGCTGCTTGCACCATCTCACTTACCTCAAATAGCTCATTGAACCACAATAGGACAAGCTTATCGAGAATATATTTTGCTTGAGCTATGACCGGGAAAGTCAATCAGTTTAAGTTTCTGCTATCTGTGAAAGCAGCTTGTAAAGCGGTAATTTAAATCAGGTGAAAAAAAGGCCGGTGTGAGTGCATTGTCTCAGGAAGATCGATGGCTCGTGTCGACTTCTTTGGTCAGTGTTAGTGGTTGAACGTCAATCTATACACTTGTAGTCATTTCCTGGAGAGAATGTTTGCCATCGTAGGGCCTCTACGTAGCAGCGTCCGTCATTTCGTCATTAAATGTGTGCTTTTGCCGTACCGTGGATCATAGCAGCAATATTCACTTCTCTAACGATTCTTGACTTCGAGGTAATTACAAACCTCTAACTTAAAAATGTATTTTCCTCTTGTTCCTGACCACACCATTGCTAACGATGTGGGTCGCGTATTTTAATATCTGGATAAAACAAAAAATCCCCAAAGGGAATCCGAAATCCCAGAGCTGCAAGAGAATCAAAATTAGCCAACATATTAATTCTGATTACGAGAGCTCCACTTTTAGCTTGATTCCATTTCAAATTTGGAATAATTTTGTTGTTTTGAAAGGTTTAAGGATTTCATTAAAAGCGACGTACCTCATAATTAAGCTTTCAAAGTTCAGCCACTAGCTTGTTCAGCAACGAGCTTGCTGATTTATCCGCTAAAAATTCCAGAATTTAAGACAGCACTTTCTAAGAACATATCAGGGCCATGAGGCTCCATTTACGAGACCAAAAACTGAGCTTTTCCCACCTGCTGTTCTTTTGACTAGAATCGCATGAAAGTGTTGCTAACTGGCACATTTTACACCAAGTATGGCAATTGGCTTTCATGTAATGTTGTGGATAACTTAAAAGAAGTGATATATTAAACTGTCATCTCTTGAATTATAAGCATTTGAAACGCCTTGAGAAAGTTGCAATATCCCTTCTCGCGTGAATTGATTTTAAGCTTTATCAATAAAGGGCAAAATTACTGAGCGCTGATTGGTTGAGAGAGAGGGCATTTTTTCTTAATCGAGGGCATTTTTAGTAATCAAGAGAGGGCATGATTACCTGCGTTGCATCCTCTTAGTCGGCAAATCAAGTAGACCCTCTGATTTTATTTATTTTGGAAGTAGTTACCCTTTTTGGATACAAACACGTCCTAATATATATTTGAATGTTTCCGTTGATCTAAAAGATTTTACAGCGTGAAGTTTGATTTCATGACTGGCTAATCCCAAAAAACGTTGTTGCGTAAGCAGCTCCCCTTGCAACGTTGAAATTAAGTAATGGCAATACACCTGCCGTTTTATTGGTGCAGCACCAACATATAATCTCTAGAACTCATTTCTAAAGCAACGCTTCGAAAGTGGAAGGATTATATCGCTACGATCGTTTATTAGTTGAAAATACATACAGCATCAACACCAAGTGGGAATGGAACGAGATGAGTTCCGTCACGTGGGAAATTCCATTTCATTCGACGTGTGAAAATATTGCTAGGAAATGTTCATTCGGCCAATCTAAGGTCTTAGTCGTCTTCCTGCTTCGCCGATGTATAACTTATTGCAATAAGTGTAAGTTATGCAGCGAATAACATTGGCGGAGGTACACGTAAAGTGATCAATGATCTTAATGGATCTCTTGGGTCCCGATATTTTATCTACTTTATGAATGAAAGAACAAGTTTTGCATCGTGAGCGAGCGCATTTGAAAGTTCCAGATTGATCACTGGTTTGAAATGAACTCCTGACTAAAGAGTTGCCTATGTTTTTGTCACGTTTGAATGAAATAAATGGGGGTTGCGAAAAGATAGTGCCCTTCTCTGAATCGTTTTGGAGTAATTTGAAATTTTAAAGAATGATGGATTTAACTGCGTGGTTGTGAGGGTGAAATGTAAGAGTAAATGGAATGCGGTCAGTGTTATCCTTCTCAGCCGTTTGTAGTGCTGACTGTCGATCAATTTGTTGGGCACGGTGGTGGCCCGCTTGAACGACAGAGACAGGATAACCACGTATGGAGTTTCTTGACTTGTGATGGATGTGAAGATGAATACAACTGTATTTATGTATTCATCTTCACATCCATCACACGTCAAGAACTCCATACCTTTTTCACAGTTTCTCAGACTTCGTCGTTTATATGAAACTGTAGGTTTATAGTAAACACTAGTGCATAAAACGTTGCCTTCGATTGAAATTTTTATGTCTAGAAAAGCCAAAGAAGTGTCGGAAATTTCCCAGGTATATTTAAGAGCCGGATGAAAGGAAATGACGGCGGTTATAAATTGAGTGAGCTCCTCTTTGGTAAAGGAGGTAGCGCCGATCCAATCGTCAATGTAACGGCCGTAGAGTTCAGGTTTTGGGCCGTGGTGTTGACTAAAAAATTGATGTTCGATAAAACTTACAAAAAGATTGGCGTAGCTGGGTCCATATGCGTTTTAGTACCCATGGCTACGCCATTAGTTTGTATGTAGTAGTTGCCACCGAATGAAAAGCGATTGAGTGTGAGCACTAGTTCGGCTAGACGGAGTAGTGTTTCAGAGCTGGCTTAACAGTGCGATGATCGAAGAAATGTTTGAGGGCCCGGAGACCTTCGTCATTGGGAATGACAGTATAAAGAGATATTATATCCATAGTAAAAATAAGTTTGTTTTGGCCGAGGAAACTAAAGTCACGAAAAATTTCAAGTGCGTGTTGGCTGTCCTTAATGTAAGACGGTAAAGTTTTGACGATAGGTGCCATAATTTTATCTAAATAGCTGGAAATAAGTTCGGTGGGACAACTGCAGGCAGAAACGATGGGTCGACCTGGGTTGTTAGGTTTATGGATTTTAGACAGCTACGCGAAGGAAACCTTTGTGAGTCCCGAGGGGATCGTCGGCTGTCAGAAAATTTAGAATCAATTCAGTCATGATTAAGAAAGAGAAAATTAGTCCTTTCACGCACAATGGAAAATGCTGATATTATGACGCGCCGCCTTACCCGGGACATTTTTATAACAAAGAACGATATTTGAGACGACATGTTGCCGCTTCTACTTATTTTGTCTAAGTGCGAGCTTGGGTCTTGAATAAATTTATCTCAAGAAATTTTCTTCACCTAGGGACATTTTTATGACGAAGGACGGTATATAGGACGGTATGTTGCTGCTTCTATTGAGTGAGATTGTATCTTGAACTAATTTTATCTCATGAATAATAGGTTATGTAAATCAGAAATTTATTAGTGACTCTTAATGACACAATTGTAAAACCGCTCTTGTCTCCCAAAACCTAGACAAAATTCGTTTAGAAAGGAAGATTGATTACAAAGATCTTTAGGCTGTTCTCTACATTGTCACGCTTGAGAGGTGTGGTGTCCAAGCAAGCAAATTTAATATTCACAAAATTACGAGACAACCTACGACTGATATAACCTACACACACAAGTCTCGTATTCGGCGCACGCCTGTCTCGACATTAGCATTCGTAATTTGACAAGTGCATGACATTTTCACAAGTATGCCACTCCTTGACAGCTATGTTACAATCGGGATAAAGAAAACTTGTTTCACTTCACGTGTTCGTGAAAGACAAGCGGAAAAAAAACATAAACTGAACGACAGTAGTGAGCAGAAATGAAATGCAACGCTCTTCGATGAATCGGAATTTCCTGCTCTGACTCGAAAAAGGAAAGGAAGAATTTTTATCGGAGAATCTTTTTTTGTGGTTATCCCCACCCACGCCAGGGGGCTGTCCCGGGGGAATTCCTATTGTTTTCATATCCACGCATGGAGTTGTGACGTAGTTCGTTAATGTTTCGTTCCTTTGTGTACCGGTACACGAGGACACAACCCACGCCAGCCTATCGCGTCGTATTTAAGTAAAAAACAAACTTTTCGAAATATTCAAAAGTTATTCATGGTCATATGATAAAATGCTTATTGACTGAGTCGAGTCATACATAATCCCAATTTACATATATGAAGTTACCGCTTTTTCCGGTTAGAAATCTTTGTTAAACACCGCAGTTTATATGATAGTTTGCATTTATCAGTCGGACCAGCCCAATTTTCACAACTTCAGTGTTTTTCTAGCAAAATAATAGTTTTCTCAAGAGCTTTGGGAATAATGACGAATAATAAACAATTCATTCTTTTTAATACCTCGCCTTTCAACTTACCACCTGCTACAAGTTACAGGTGACAATAGGCCAGATATGTCATTAATAAAAACGCTGATGAAAATTCGCAATCAAGCTTATGCAAGGAAAGAGTAATTTTCTGGGGTTATCTTTCAATGAAAAAGACGAAGTATTTCGAAAACGGTAAACTTATATGTAATTCGGCAGAATAAGAAAATTATTTTTTTTCTTGAAATCATAGTCAAACATACAGATGTTTCAGTCTTTATTGCATTTGTTAAGGCTTTCGTCAGGCAATTGTGTGTCTTGCAGACGTCACTATGAGGAAGTTAAAAATACATCAAACGCTCCTGGCCCTTCCGCTGTTACCTTAAAAATGGGCATAGGCATAGAAAGACCTTTCCTACTCTGAAATTTATAGAAAATGAACAGAAACTGTGGTATTTAAAAGGGAAAAAAGCATTTTGCTCTTAGAAGAACCTTAGTTTGGATGAGTTAATCTTGAACTTTGGAGAAAAAGTATTTATTAGCCACTTCAATACCGTTTTGGGGAAATTTTCCTGCGGAATTAAGGTTAGTTACGGTATCTCTAGTAATTCATTTTTCGCTTTTTAAACCTAATTTTTAACTCTCTGCACTGTGACAGGTGAAGACTGGTAGAATTAAAAGACAACAGTTCCAACCTTGCAAAGAAGTTTGACCGCCGTTAAGCTATTACAAATACCGTCCCATATTCTTCTGTGATCTGAGTTGTTTTCATCGAATCTCAGCGTAAGGTAAAGCTTTCGCTAAGTCTAATTAGAATTATCTGTGAATGCTTAAGCTGGCAAAAGCTTTCGCTTGGATCGCGGACAGTTCACATAATTGTCACATACTCCTCGCATAAGAAAATTCGAATTACGCAACTAACTCGCAGCCAGCTGTTCCTTGAAGCAAATAAAATAAGGGCTTTAGAGTTCTTTACTATTAATTTTGAGAAATTTGGTCGAACTCTCTAATTCTTATCGTGAGACAAAGTTTAAAACTAACGGCGCCGCAGATAAATTCAGCAGCACATTTGTGACTTTATCATCACCGAAGTAAGATGATTATTTTTCCTCAAATATTTTTGGTGTGGGAAACAGGGAGTGAAGCAATCTTCTACTTTTCTCAAGTAGAGTAGTGAAACTCCACATTTACATTTATTTATCAATTGCTCTCACCATCTTTGCGGAGAGTCATTAAAAATAGAAGCAAATTAATCTAATTTAGTCGGACTGCGTTATTAACGAATATTTGCTTGGTCTCTTTCGCTGATGAGATTCCTTTGCTTTTTAACCCTTCAAAGAGACCTAAAATGGTGGTAGGGAATTCTTAGGTAGATACGTACTCTATTTTTCTTTACTGTATAATGGATAGGTGTATATTTCCAAGAGTCGCAATTCGACCAGACCTGTGAAACAGAGAACAGAGAATAGTTGCTGGGACTAAAGCTTAAATAAATCTTGTTTAGAAGAGTAAATTCTGGGTTTCCCATGGAGTCGTTAATAACATAAGAGTGATTGAGGAGACTCCTAGTATAACTTTAGGGTTTCTTTAGGTCTCACAACTGATATTATACTGTATCACATAAACTGCGGTGTTATACAAGGATTTCCGGCCCTGAGAAAAGCCGTCACAACACACATGAAAAAATATCATACTTTTTTACCTGTGTTGATATAGCCAATCAGCTACTGACACGTCACTCGCCTTTGGTGCTCCTCGGTCAGGTTGATGAATAAACGGCAAGTTGTTTGCCGAGCTTTCTCGAATTATGGCGGCTAAAACACTAAAAAATCCGTATCGTTGACAGAAATGAGGTTCAAACTTTCCTAGAAGAGGAAGAAAACCAATATGCTAAAAAAATAAACCGAAAGTTGCACATTCAGTGGCTTAAGTGTTAGCATTTCTCTCGGCTGAGAATGAAAATCGACAACTGGAAGATTTGCCACGGGCTGATTTTAGCCGTGTACCTGAAATACTTCTTCTGTCGGTAAGGACAAAGTCAATAAATGAAAATTTTCTCGTGTTCAATTCGGCATCTCACTCGTTCGCTGCGCTCGCTCATGAGCTATCGAGTTGAACACTCGAAGAGAAATTCCATATCTACGCGCGCCCATGTATTATTCTCTATTTAAAACTACTCTTTGGAAATTTTATGGTAGTGAATCAATTTGAACTTTACCTTGATATTGAAAACACCTTTAAGAATCCTGCATGATACCTTTTACATTAGTCATCGATGCATCAACCTCGAGCCGATCATGAAGTCTAAAAAATTAAAAGCAAAATATGTGTCCAACTTGTGACTCAAAGACACTGATAATTGTTATTTGTTTCGAGGGTTCCTTACGATGTCTTGTGAATCACCTTCACGAGAAACCTTAATTTGCTGCTGATAAAAAGCATGACGAGTTAGTAAATTATACTGATATTTGGAACAGCACTATTCAATTACATCGCTTTTACCAAGTCATACATCAAAAGTGATATGCATGCAACCAGACTGTACTCTGACTCTTTTCGTTTGAACATCCCATCGGTAAGTTTATTTGAATTAGTTCAATATACCTTTAAGCCGAGGTTCAGCCATTTTAGCATAATTTGCCACCTTCTTCTCTTTTATCAAAAAGTTTACTCATCGGCGCCATCGTGTTTCCTTTCGACACCTAAGAGCTGGATAATACAAATCACCCTTGAATTTCCCACTAAGTACGTGCGAAAAGTACTATTCAATCACATTGCTTTTTTACCAAGCCATACATACACAATGTTCACATTTCGATATATTTATCGTTGTAAATTGCTATTCCTATGCTATTGCCCATGCTATTCCTTATAACATGTTCAATTTCTTAACGGTTCCTCCCGTAAATTAACACTGAGTCACACAACATGTGACGCTTTCATGAATTAATCGTTTGCTTTTTATCAAGACGTGAGCCTGGGAAGCCTTTGTTCTCACGAGTCTGCACTCGAATTATCGCAAGAAGCGTTGCATCTCTCTGCTGTTTTTCTTTCGATATATTAACAAGTAAAGTTAGAAATTAACCAAGTGCTAATGTTGATTGGTCGATGTGCTCTCGTGGGGAGTCCTAGTTCGCGGTAAATTCAGACTAAAAATAGACTTGTCTGTGAAAACACCGTGACAAAAATACAGAGTAGTTGTGGGCTCCAAGTGTTGGGCCCCTGCCAGAACTACGCTCCGATTGAGTGCTACTTGTAAGGTCATTCATAGATAATTCAAGGGTATTGCGTCAAGTGCAAACTTCTGCTCCGCAGTGTTCCTCTTCTCCTCGCTGTTTCAAGACGGGTCATCTATTGCGTCACGTATCGTCACTGTCCTAACGTTTTCGTTCCCTTTGCAGCTGTATGAAAGCTTTGGTTACTTACTAAAGTCAACCAATCTTTTTTTTTGCAACTACTACGAACCGTTGATATTTTCAAAACTAGTTGTACCTGCGAATGAAAACAAGTTCTTCATCGAAGCTAAAATTGAAAAAAAAACAAAATAAAAAAACAACGAGCGACGCCGAGTTGAAGACAAAACACTTGATTGTCAATTTGGATACGAAGATATCGAAAAGTACGGAATAGCAACTAAATACCCAGGGTATTGGACCAGAACGAGTAAACTGAACGTATAATAAGAATATCATTATACAACTGCACAAAGTAGATTACAAATAACGGGCAAATTGAGTACTGATATCCTGCAATATTGTACGGTTATTTGGACACTTAGTTATTTTGCACTGCAAAACAACCTGTTTAACCAGTCGGCTTCGCGCGTTATGTTATAAAATAACTGGTTCATGCTTTAAGCTATGCAACTTCATAAGTTTGAAGAGCACTCAGAAAGCTAGAGTTAAAACTCTTACGCTTCTCTCATGCTCACCAATCTTCCCGCGTGCATCCATTTGACGATTAGCGAAGCATTGTTCTTGTCAGTTCGTTTACCATTAGAAACGTGGAAAGTTTCCCGTAAAAACATCGTTTAAGGTTATATAAGTTTCTTCTAAATATTAGGACAGTACTAAAAACTGAGTTACGAAGCCACACGTTGGTAGCGAAGCAAAATTTAATATGATGAATATTGATAAAAAAGAATAAAAATTCATCTAACATAGTTGAAATCTTCCTTTGTTTTGACTCTCCAGCATCATCTATAGGGAAACCGGACCCCATTGCCATGGATTTCAAAACTTGGAACATGTTCTGGAGATTATGTTTTGGAGTCTTAGCAACTTTGATCATTACGGGAAATATTCTCATCATCTGGATTTTTTTTAAGCTGAGACGCCGAAAGCGTTCCTCATTTCTTCTGATCGGTTTGGGCGTGGCTGATTTACTGGTTGGAGGACTGGCCATTCCTCTTCTCATAGCAACATATGAATCAGCTTCAATAACAGTATGGCGTGTTTTCGACCTTGTTGACATGTTTACAAGTACATCGTCCATTTATGCACTTGCTGTTATTTCCGTGGAGAGGATGTTCGCCATCGGTTGGCCTCTTCGTCATAGAACTGCAAACTTTCGTGTTTATATATGTGCTATTGCCCTACCGTGGATCATAGCAGCAATATTCGCTATAACACTTTTCGTTTATGCAAACTTCAACTTCATGACAAGGGACAGCGTAATCTACCTCATAGTTTTGTTACCTGCAATACCTCTATTAATTATGTGTGTAGCGTATTATGTTATTTGGAGGAAACAAAAATCAACAATATGTAACCAAAACAATATCATCAGAGAAGTCAAATTAGCGAAAACATTATTTTTGATAACAGGAGCTTCTGTTTTCACCTGGCTCCCCTTCCAGATTCTTAACCTGTTGGTATATTTGCAAATAACCGCAAACTTTTCTCATATACTACCAACGGCACTCATTATCAGGGTTTTGCAATATAGCAATTCGTTCGTGAACGTAATTATTTATCCATTAAGAATTCCAGAATTTAAAAACTACCTGCTACACTTACTTCGTTGTTGTGTAGTTCACCGTCAGATATTTAGAGCTGGGGTTTCATCATCAGCCGGGTCCGGGTCAGTTGTATCCTTAGTAAGATTTACAAGTACGCAGCACTTATCACCGAGCTCTAAACAGGAGAGTGCAGTTTGATTGCTTCATTGATTGTTTAAAGTCAATAAAAAAATCGATATTTTTTACTGACTTTAAGTGATTCAACTGAGGGGAAATCGTGCTCTTCATCATCTGTTTGAGTGTAAACGTAAGATCCTTAGGTGAATCTTAAATTAACTCGATGCCAAGTGTTAGGAGTAATTGGCATCTCCAGTGTTAATGAGTAATATCATTTTTGTAAATAATATCAATACTGTTTAGTTAGGCTGACCTCATTGTCAGGGAACTTTCTGGAACGTTTTGTCGAGTAACGCAATTATTGCATCATACTTGTCATCCAGCTAAGTGCGATGCAAATACATCACGAGATTTCTTACGTAACGCTTAGGTAGTCGCCGCTTACGTAGTTTGCTTTTGTCTCGAGATACCCTTAGGAGAAAAAAAAAGGGAGACGGTGTGAGTGCGCAAAGAAGCTGTATGCAAGGTGTGCAAGGAACTAGGAACTTTGGAGAAAGTGGTGTGTTTGTGTAGTGGAAAGTCAGTGTGCAAGGAACTAGGAATTTTGGAGAAAGTGGTGTGTTTGTGAAGTGGAAAGCCAGTGTGCAAGGAATTAGGAACTTTGGAGAAAGTAGTGAGTTTGTGAAGTGGTAAGCTAAGAATTGGTTTGTAGAGGGCTCAAGCAAGATATTTGGAACCCAGGTTATTTTATTGTAAATTACTTTATCGCAAGTCACTTCTAAGTAAGAATATTACTTGCAGTTTTATAAAGTAGTTTAGTTCGTCGGAGCAGCGTTTTTCTGTTAGTTAGGTTATACCGTAACACAAGATAAATAGAGATGCGTACTTAACGAGAATGAAAGCGTCGAGGGCGATATCAGACACTTTCACATCAACTTAGATAAATAGTCTTGATATGACCCATCAATATGAAGAACAAGCAGCAATATCGTCAGACATAAATATCTATCTAATTCGGACATCACGCTGGAAAAATTTGGGCTCAAAAAGTCACATATTATGTCTAATAATAATAATAATAATAATAATAAACTTTATTTACGTGTCAAATAAGATAGCAGTTTCTCACTAAGTAAGGACAGCTAAACTAAACTAATCTAGTCTATATAAAACTAAGCATTAAAAATTTATTGCAATATGATAAAAGAGCTCTTCCCATATAAAACTACCCTACCCCGAAATAGTAGACCCCATGTTTATAATACCCTACCCTGTATAATAAGATAATAATAATTACAATAATATGATCTTGATAATATTTAAAATATTTAAGATTTACATAAAATACAGTTCTTGCAATTATTCGAAGAGATTAAACTTTGTATATCTACTTTATGTAAAGCGTTTTTAAATTCTTGCAGCGTTCTTAGTGCTCTTATTTTTCCATCTAACTTAGACCAGATTACTGGAACTAAGTACCTAAGAGAGTGCTTACCATAGCGCGTAGTACTAACTCTAATGATAATGAAATCATTGTTTCTTAAATTATATTTGTTGTTATTAATAACAAACAGGTTCTTGATATTATTAGGGCACAGATCATTTTTAACTTTAAACATTAACACTGCTATGTCATGTAATCGCCTATTACGTAAGGTTTTTAAATTAGCCTTCTAATGATGTATCTAGGGATGATCATGATAGAGCGAAGTAGGATATTTCACGCGTTCTTTCGTTAGAGCAACTGGCACAATTTATTAGACCTGACAACAAAAAGGTTTATGTTGTACTCTGACTCTTTTCGTTTGAACATCCAATCGGAAGTTTCAATTCATTTGAATTCAATTAATATACCTTTAAACCGAGGTTTGAATTTCCCACTAAGAACGTGCGAAAAGTACCATTCAATTACATTGCCTTTACCAAGTCATACATCAAAAGTGACATGCATGCAACCAAACTGTTAGGTAAACCACTTGATAAATATAAGCTCATTTGAAACATGTACAATCTACAGCCAGCTCGATTTGAATAATAAAAAATCAGAGTAAGTGGGTGAAAGAGATTCAGTACTATAAAAGTTGCAGTGTACTCTTGTATATTATGTTAGCGCTTGATGTACATAGTTAATGACTGTTGAGCACATCTAAGTTACCTCACATCGTTCAAGATTCTTTGATCTAAGATAATAAATATTAGAAATAAGAGAGATGGTAAGTTTTGAGCTCGGTAAAGAAATAAAGATGGTTATTTGGTCTTGTCACGAGCGTGGGACAAAGAAAACATTCTGAGTTCCCATGAGGAATCGAACTTCAGACCAACGGATTCCGCGCTCCGATGCTCTACCACTGAGCCATAGAGACGCCACTGTAAGCGAGGTCAATTACGAAGTTCATATGACACGCGTCCTGAATACTGCTAGGATCAGCAATGTCGATGGCGTAATGTTTGTAGAAAAAAATTAGGGAGATGGTAAGTTTTGAGCTCGGTAAAGAAATAAAGAAAGATGTTTTTTTCCTCTTGTCACAAGCGTGGGACAAAGAAAGAATTCTGTGTCCCCGTGAGGAATCGAACTTCAGACCTTCGGATTCCGCACTCCGATGCTCTACCACTGAGCCATAGAGACTCCACGGTGAGCGAGGTGTATTACGAAGTCCATATGACACGCGTCCTGCATACTGCTAGAATCAGCAATGTCGATAGCGTAATGTTTGTAGATAGAGTCCTAGACTAGTCCTACGCTCTTGACAAGACGGAAAAAACATCTTTCTTTATTTCTTTACCGAGCTCAAAACTTACCATCTCTCTTATTTCTATCTAAAATTTGAATTATAAAGAAGTCAAGTTTCTAAAGAAACTGAGGTGCTGCGTCGGTGGGAGAGTGTTCCGATTTGTTTTCAGTTTTGATTTTACTTTCGTTTCGTTACCAGCTGCGCGGTTTATTTGGAATCATCGCCAAAAAAAAACCTTCTTATCGAAAGTATGATGATATTTTCTCTTTTTAAATACTTCTAACTAAAGGCTATTGAACACATTTACTTCTGAATGTGGCCATAGAGGGTTAGGAAAATCTTCTTCTTGGGCGCACGTTTTTTTGAAAAGCTGGAGTTAATTGTACTTGATATTCGTTATTTGTGCTTGATATTCGGCCTAAAGTCACATTTTAGAACATACTCAGTATGCATTTTGCGACTCCTATCTAATCGTTCCTCTGACCAAAAACCTAATCGACACAACTCCACAGTCTCTCGAGTGAGAAACCTCCCCCACTTATTCTCTGAAATTTATATTCCTATTTCGATGATTTAGATGATTGCGAGTTGCGAAATATTTCGAACAATGCGAGAAATACAACAACAACAACAACAACAGCATTTATTTAAACACGATAAAAAAATTCAGCAAAAGCTGATGTGGTCGTGTACGGACAATAAAACTAAATTCCTAACTAAATCCAATAAAACTAAATTCCTAACTAATTATAAGAAGACTAATGTAAGATTTCTACATAATTTTCAACAATAAAAATTCTACATAGTACATCATTATAACATACGTGGCTTAAAAATACACTTGAGTGACTTTTTTAAAAGCGTCAACGTCTTGAATTGATCTCATTTGATTTTCCAGAGCGTTCCACCGAGTAATTGACTTGTATGAGCATGATTTCTTGACCATATCGGTCTTAGGTCTAGGTAACTTAAATGTCATTTTCCTCCTGAAGTCGTAGCTACTTACATACTTTTCAAAGTGACGGCTCATAGGACGTGGCAAAAGATTATAATAAGCCTGATGCGCTAAGATTAGTAATCGTTTCTCATACATAATCTCTAAGGTATTCCATTTTACTGTGGCAAGAACCTCCTTGCTTGGAGTACACCAGTCCAAGTTAAATATTATTTTCGCCGCTCTAACATGTATAGATTCTAAGCTTGAGAAAAATACTCGACCACAAGAGCCCCAAACTAACATACCATATGTCACAGACGGCAGAATAACCTTAAAATAGAAATCAATTCTTGCCTGTATAGGAAGAAAATACAAGGATTTAAGTAAATTCAACTTCTGCGTATATGACTTAGCTAATTCCGATACATGATGATCCCATTTAAGAGCATTATCTATCTGAACACCTAGGCATCTTGCAGAAACAACCTCCCCGACAACATAATCACCTATCTTAATAGCTTGTTTTGGCCCAGTAAATTTTCCGCGTCCACCAAGCAATATATATTCCGTCTTGGTGGGATGTGGAGTGAGACAGTTCTCGCAACACCAGGTATATAGCCTTGCTAGTACTTCATTCAACTTGGAGGCCACCAAATCGTAGGTCGGAGCTGAGACATAGACGGTGGTATCGTCTGCGTACATGTGAAGCTGTGGGTCACCATCTATTCCCTCAGTGATATTGGGCAGATCATTACAGAAGATGGAAAACAGGGTAGGGCCCAGCACCGACCCTTGAGGTAAACCAAAAGTAACTGGCATAGCTTGAGATTGACACCCATTAATCGTCGTTACTTGCGTTCTTCCAGAGAGGTAATCTCTTATCCAACACCACAAGTCCCCAGCTACACCAAGACTTTGAAGTTTTCGGAGCAGAATGGAGTGGGGAATTGCGTCAAACGCCTTACGAAAGTCTACAAAAACCACGCCTACAACATGTTTCTTGTCGATCGCTTGTCTCCAGTCATCCGTTATTTTCACTAACAACAGCTCGGTGGAATGACCTTTTTTATACGCCCACTGGTGAGGGTTCCCAAGTCCTTGTTCAGTGACATGCGTGGTAATAGTTGACGCCACCATAGACTCCATCAGTTTTCCTGGTACACTTAATAGCGAGATAGGCCTGTAATTTTGCTTAACGGTTTCATCGTCACTTTTATAGAGAGCTGAGATGTTTGCAGCCTTCCAAGTAGCCGGTACACTGTTGCAGGTGGCGCTTATTTGAAAAACAGACAATAAAG